AAGATGACAGCCTAGGAAACACTGTGGGGCAGTTCCACTCTGTCTTCAAGGGGTGCTGTGAGATGGAATTGACTCCACTGCAATGGGTACTCTCTAACACATGGGGTCACTATGATTAGGGATCAACTCCAATGTGCAAGGCATGATGCTAACCACTCCATGTGCGTAACGTATGGGCTCCTCCCAGGCACCCCACACAGTGTGACTATCAATCCTCTCTCCCAGACTGAAGACAGACTCAGAGGACTTACTGGGAGGGTCTGGCTACCCCCAGGAACCCCTAACGCTGGCACCTCGATTCAACTTCTGGCCTCCAGGACTCTGAGACAATACATTTCTGGTTTTTTTTAATCACCCAGTTGTAGTAACTGCTGCAACAGCCCTAGAGAACAAATGCCCCACCCATTCCACTCCTAGGAATTTCCCCAAGAGAAGCAGGTATGTGTGTCCATACACTTGTGCATGTGGTCGTGACAACTATATTTAGTACCCCAAAACTGGAAACAGCCCAGATACCCATCAGCAGGTGACTGATGGAACCGTACCCCACGGCACTGTCACACACTGGAAAATCCGAATACCACCCCACAACCGAAATGAAGAAGAGCCGATGCCCCGGAGAACCCAATGGGTCTCTGTCACACTGCTGACCAGAAGGCGCCACGCTGTGTGCTTCCATTTGGTAAAACTTTACAACATGCAAATGAGGCCCTGCTGACAGCGCACAGATCAGCGGGGGCGGGGCGGCAAAGACAGGAGGGAGGAACTACAAAGAGGCACCGGGAAACGTCTGGGGGACACACGTGTCACCTTGATCGTGGTGTCGGTTTGGGGCGGGGAGAGGAAAGGCATCCATGTGTAAAACCTCACCAACTCTTGGATTAGTTCATTATTGTAAAAAGTCAAGGAAAGGTGTATTGTATCTGGAAGGAAACTGTTGGTTACCAGAGTTGGGAGCGAAGCCAGGGAACACTGCAAAACCGAGAAACAAACTCATGGAGTAATCACTTCAACTTGCTGCTGTTGTCAGCCGCCCTCCGCTCGGCTC